AGCCTTATTCCAAAATGGATTAAATTAATTTTTTACCTCAACATTCTACAAACAATACCCCCATAATGACAACGTGAAAAAATTTTGTTTTGAAATCTTTGCAATCTATTCAAAATAAAAAACAAAAAAAAAACCCATGTACATAAGTATTCCCAGCCTTTGCTCAATACTTTGTTGAAGCACCTTTAGCACCAGTTACAGCCTCAAGTCGTTTAGAGTATGATGCTACAAGCTTGGCACACCTATTTTTGGGCAATTTCTCCCATTCTTTGCAGTATCTCTCAAGCTCCATGAGGTTGGATGGGGAGCATCGGTGCACAGCCATTTTCAGATCTTTCCAGAGATGTTCAATTGGGTTTAAGTCTGGGCCACTCCAGGACATTCACAGAGTTGGCCCATAGCCATGTGGGCTGTGTGCTTAGAGTCGTTGTCCTGTTGAAAGATGAACCGTCGCCCCAGTCTAAGGTCCAGAGCGCTCTGGAACAGGTTTTATCAAGGATATCTCTGTACATTGCTCCATTCATCTTTCCTTCGATTCTGACTAGTCTCCCAGTTCCTGCCGCTGAAAAACATCCCCACAGCATGATGTTGCCATCACCATGCTTCACTGTAGGTATAGTATGGGCCAGGTGGTGAGTGGTGCATGGCTTCCTCTAGACATGATGCTTGGCATTCAGGCTAAAGAGTTCAATCTTTGTTTCATCAGACCAGAGAGTTTTGTTTCTCATAGTCTGAGAGTCCCTCAGGTGGCTTTTGGCAAACTCCAGGTGGGCTGCTATTTGCCTTTTTACTGAGGAGTGGCTTCCGTCTGGCCACTCTACCATACAGGCCTGATTGGTGGAGTGATGCAGAGATGGTTGTTCTTCTGGAAGGTTCTCCTCTCTCCACAGAGAAATGCTGGAGCTCTTTCAGAGTGACCATCGGGTGTTTTGTTACCTCCCTAGCTAAGGCCCTTCTCCCTCGATCGCTCGTTTTGGCGGCCCGCTCTAGGAAGATACCTGGTGGTTCCAAACTTCCAACATTTACAAATGATGGAGGCCACTGTGCTCATTGGGACCTTCAATGCTTCAGAAAGCCCTTCCCCAGATCTGTGCCTTGATACAATCCTGTCTCGGACATCTACGGACAATTCCTTGGACTTCATGGCTTGGTTTGTGCTCTGACATGCATTGTTAACTGTGGGACCTTATATAGACAGGTTTATACCTTTCCTAATCATGTCCAATCAACTGAACTTCCCACAGGTGGACTCCAATCAAGTTGTGGAAACTCAAGGATGATCAGCAGGAACAGGATGCACCAATTTTGAGTGTCATGGCAAAGGCTGTGAACACTTATGTACATGTACGTTTTTTTTTTTTTTCCTTTCTTTTTTTATTTTTAATAATTTGCAAAGATTTTAAAACTAACTTCTTTCACGTTGTCATTATGGGGTATTGTTTGTAGAATGTTAAGGAAAAAAATTAATTTAATTCATTTTGGAATAAGGCTGTAACATAACAAAATGTGCCAAACGTTAAGTGCTGTGAATACTTTCTGGATGCACTGCAATATAAAGAATACATAGACACAAGATTTTTAAGACCTAAGACACATTCATATAGTATGCATCAAAACTGATTTAATTTACATGTATTTAAAATGCATTGAAAAACTATAAATACTATTTACATGAAAATTAAATCTTATATATATATATATATATATATATATATATTAAAAAAATAAATAAATCTGATAGCAGACAGTAGGCAGCCTTCACAGTGCTCTGGTGTAATAAGCCAGCCTGTATATCAATCAGCAGGCTAGTCATATGGACACCAGAACATCAGATGAGTCAATATTCACTTGGTGGAAATGATAATTACTCTGCTGTGCTTTGTTTTTTTTTTTTTTTTTGTTTGTTTTTTTACAGGAAGCATTTTAACCAAATGATTCCCAAAGCAGCACAGGATGAATCTGAAAACCTGCATGTTATGTGTGCTCAGCATGTGCAGAATTATTAAGAATGAACCACAGCTTTTCCTTACACTCTTGTACAGTTTTACAGGCTCCTCTCCTGTGTTGAAATTGCTTGCTCTGATTTCACTGCACACTGTGAGCTACTCACCAGCTGCAACTCTGTAGCCTGTCCTGTCAGCGCTGGTCAGCGGCTTTCTAGCTCCCCAGTCAGACCGGAACTGTTAGAAGTAGCTGAAAAGGAAAAATTGAAGCGACCGTTGGGAGATATACACCTGCTGCAACAACGGCAGAACCCCTCGGGACCTCTCCTAGAACCCTAGGGTTTCACTGAACCCTGGATGAAAACCTCTACTCTAACCTAACCCTGTGTCACCCAGGTACATATGCAGGCCATAGATGGGGAGAAAACCAGATGGTTTTTTAACAAAAAAAAAACGAAAAATCGGTTGTTCAATAGGCCGACGTTACCACCAACAGTAAAAAAAAAAAAAACCGGCCGATTTTCTTCCCGTCTACGGCCGGCATTTAATTACTTCTGTCCCTGCAGAGAGCCCCGCACTGTCCCTGAGGAGGAGGAGGAAGAGGAAGAGGAAGGAGGAAGGAGGAGGAGGGGGGAGGAGAGAAAGAAGAAGAATTCCAGTCCGCTATTATATTTGACATTAAAAAGTATTGCGGTTACAACATTGTATCTATTTGTATCCATTTCGGATACAGATGGTTTTTCGGATGCAAATAGATACATTGTTGCAACCGTAATACTTTTTAATGTCAAATATAATAGCGGACTGGAATTCTTCTTCTTTCTCTCCTCCCCCTCCTCCTCCTCCCCCCTCCCTCCCCCTCCCCCCCCCCCCTCCTCCCCCCCCTCCTCCAAGTAGTTGGAGGGGTTTGGAGATGAATCTTAGATTAGGCTAAAGGGTTAGGGTGGGATAGCATGTGTGTATTTGTGTGTTTTTCTTCTCTTCTTTTTTTTTTTTTTTAATAAATCCTGAACTTGTCCTTTAAATATTCCACTGCAGATATTGCTAGATGGTAGACCTGCTGTAATTTGCATTGGAAATTACAGGGAAATATTGGCCAGGTCATTGTGTCATCCACACAAAGCGATTTGATTAAATCTTTCATTTTCCTTCAGACCACAAACCAGCAAGCTTCCTACTTTCACCATGCACATTGCGCATATTTCCTCCATGTTAATCAAAAGGCACAGGGCTGGATTATCAAAATTGGTCAGAGACGAAGAAGTGGTGTTCTGTGTAGCTGCCATTTATTTATGAGCCTCTCTACAATAATGTGAAGAAGTGAATTCTGGAATCTGATTGGCTGTTGCGTTGACAATTGTCAGTATAGATTAATATTGTGTAATCTTTCAGAAAATGCTCGCTGTGTGGCTGTCATGCCCAATCTGTAATTTTCTGATTCACTAACCCAGCAGAAGATTAGAGGTTCTGATTTTTCAAATGAATGTTGCTGCTAGATAGAGGGCATCATAAGATCCAGGCATGGAGAGAATAAACATGCGCAGTGCTCAGTGGTTTTTCAGCCAATCACCTATCCCAAGTATTGTCATGTGGGAAGGCCTCTAAAAAAAATAATAGCCACGTGAAGACCAAACATTTTCTGGCACTTTTTGTTTACAAGTTTAAATCAGTATTTTTTGCTAGAAAATTGCTTATAATCCCCAAACATTATATACTTTTATTTTAGCAAAGACCTTAGAGACTGAAATTGCGATCGTTGCAATTTTTTATGGTGCATGGTTTTTGCACAGTGTTTTTTCAAACGCAGTTTTTTTGTTTTTTTTTATTGAATTAAAAAAAAAACACTATATATACCCCCCATTTTTTAAAAAAAATATGATGTTATTGCGAAAAAATAGATACCTAACATGTCATGCTTTAAAATTGTGCATTCTTGTGGAATGGCGACAAACTACGGCACTTAAAAATCTCCATAGGCGACAGTTTAAAAATTGTATACAGGTTACCAGTTTACAGTTAGAGGAGGTCTAATGCTATAATTGTTCCTCTCTCTTTAATGTTCGTGGCAATACTTCACATGTGTGCTGCGAACGCCATTTACATGTGTGTGCGTGACTTACATATGTGTTCACTTCTGCGTGTGAGCACGGAGGACTGGGGGCGCGTTAAAATGTATTTTTCTTTTTACATTGTCCTTTTATTTTTTTTTATCACTTTTTTTCCTATTACAAGGAATCGGATCGTTTCTCGGGCATACCGGTTGAACCAGTAAGCCCGAGAAATGCTGGCGAGGGGGCGTCCCCTCCTGCTGCTACTGAAAGCGATCCAGTGGCTAATGAGCTGCTCAGACCATCTTCACAAGAAAGCCAGCCGCTGGCTGAAAAGAAAAAAAAAAAAGATAAACTACTTGCAAACTGCAACGTATATATACATATTGCAGTCGGCAAGTGGATAGGCAGCCATCCAGACAGCTAGCTTTTCAGACTTCATGTATTTATGAAAGAAAACATCATATAAAGACATAACAGTAAATTGTAGTTCATGCACATGATCTCCCCACAGTTCCCCTATCTAGACAGAAGCAGAATCTCAGCTACAAGCACCATATACATTTACAGTAAGGCCCCATTCACACTTGCAAATAGGGCCGTTAGCTGATACATGTGGGAGACCCAGCAGGAGGAGCCAATGGCTGCTGTGCTGATCAGTGTATTCTAATGGGGGGGTCCCTGCTGTCAGAAGACAATAGCGCGGCACGGGAGATCTCTGCATGGAATCATGCAGTAAGTGGCTGCAGTGCTGTGGAGAAGAGCACAGGTGCATTGAAAGTACTGTAGATACATCAGATTTTGTAACATGCAGTGGGACTGTATCCTGAAAGGATTGATTTGTACTTGTTGCCATATCTCGATGTTTATGATTTGTTTTTTTTTTTATATTTGTTGTCAAATATGCTATATATCCTGTCTGTGTAAGCCTGTGCCACTTATATATGGGTACCATTATTTTTCTCTTAGTTAGGTTTGTAATGAGTATAATTCTTATTTCTTCACACAGGTTGCTGCAGAAGGATAATCATAATCTGGAGGCAATTAGGATTTTGGCTCTTCATTATCTGTGTAGAGAGGGAAATGTACATGAGGCAAGTTTGTTTTCATATTCACTTTGTTACATTTAAAGGCTACGTCCATGTTACATGTTACACCAATATTTAGGGTGACCCATGGTGGCAGGCTCCACCTGCACAGGCACATCATTTAAGTCCCGGCTGTCACCACGGTAGACAGATCTGTACACAAGTGCAGTGATAACCGCACTTGTAGTCCATTGACTACAATGTCAGGCTCCTGCAGACACTTTGTAGCCTGACACTTTGTCAGGCTCCTGCAGACACACTTTCTCCAGCTCTCTAGCCTTGTGTGCAGGCGGCAGAGAGGCGTTTGGGAAGCGTTTTTACTGCTTCCCAAACGCCTCTGCCAATTCTGCACATTACAGCACATGGTGCTGTTCTAACGGGAGCGTTTGCGTCGCGTTGCGTCGCGGCAAAACGGACGCCTCTGGACGAGTCAGGAGGCTTTGAAGCCTCCTATTCTCGTCTATGGTGCCGCTCCGCAAACGCCCGGCCCGGCGTTTGCGACGCGGTTTGCGGGGCGTTTGCGGAGCGGTAACACCACTCAAACTGCATTATAGGCGTTTGTGGGGCGTTATTAACGCTCGGCAAACGCCTAGCAACCGCCGCTAAACCGCGCATGCGGCGTTTGCGGAGCGTTTGCCGAGCGTTAAAAAACGCTCCGCAAACGCCGGACCAACGCTTGCTAAACGCTATAGGGGCGTTTGGCAAGCGTTGGCAAAACAGCCTAGTGTGAACGAGCCCTAACTGAAAAGCTGTGCATTGGTGCAGACATTGAGCTAGAGGAAGAGTCTGCAGGAGCCTAACATTGCTCCGAGATCCTTTGATTGGAATTGCAAGGCTTTGCAGTCTCATTTGCTTTAAAATTGATTTGCATATAAAATGGTTGTTTACTATTTGTTCAGGGGCCTTCTAGGAGGATCTGAAAGAATCTGAAGCAAAACAGCTTCTACTGTGCTCTGTCTTTAGAAAACCCCTAAAAACTGCAAATCCTCTTTTATGGATGTATCTTGTGATAAATTATTTTGTAAAGTAAATATTTCATATAGATTATTAAAAAAAAAATGCTGAAATAGTGGTTGAGTTTTTAGTGTTGGCTAGAGTAAAGTAGGTCATACATTATGCAATTGGGTTGAAGGAAAGTAACTAAAGAAAACCCGACAGGTTGGTTGTACTGAAGTCATTCGAAAGTTCAACTTCAGTACAGCCAGTACAGTCAAATTTTGATCCGTCTATGGCCAGTTTAAAGTGGAACTACACTGCATCTGAGCACCACAAACCAGAAATTCTGTTTTATATTCATTTTTAATATTAAAAACAACCCCCCCACATTCATCTATGTCCCCATGCTTTATTTTTTCAGAGAAATCACTTTGAAAAACACTTTCCTTCCACTTCTAGCCGCGGTCATCTTGCGTAAGGGCAGATGATTCATGTAGCATTTACTGTGTGGAATCCACCTGCCCTTAGCTCAGGCATGCAGGCAGGAGGGTGTGCTTAGCTGAGAAAGCCCCTTCTCCCCTCCTGAAGACTCCTGGAATATATGACATCATTTGCCTAGGCCTGGAAACCAGGAAGTAACTGAAGAAATTTTGAAAAAAAAAAAGCTTAAAGCAAGTAAATATGAAATACTTTCTTATCTATTCACAAGAAATGATTCATAACGGTTGGACAAAATTTTTGGATCTGTGCAACGTAGGACGTTGTGATGTGAGATTTTCTTTGACTTCCTGTCCCTGTGATGTCTGTACAAGAAACGGGGTGGGGCGATCATTTGGGAAGCAATAAACACAAGCTCTAACCCTTTCCTAGTCTACTAAAAATTTGTTTTTGTCTGTGTCCCCTTGGAGAGTTTTCTGTCACATCCTAGTGAGTAGAAATGTCTCCAACAGGGTCAAAGTTAGCAAAAAATATGTGATGGAGTCTCTATCCCTTCCCCACTGGTCAAAAATGAAACAAAAAGAATTAGATGGAGATGGGCTTTAAAGTCTGTTTGCAAAGAATGTATTAATATGATACCTAACAAAAATGGTCTGCTTTGTGTTTTATTATCTGTAGGCAACAACAAAGCTGGGGGATCTTATAAATGCTTTGGATTGCTTTGAACCACACAATGCTCACCTCTATTACAGTATGTCTTTAGCTTTTAGTAGAATGGTAAGGATTACATTTGTTACTTTTAGCTCAAATGGAATTGATTTGTTGTCTTAATTTCAGTTTTAAAGTTTCCTGCTCATTGTACTGATTATTTAATCCCTTAACACCAACTCCTGGCAGCCTTTTTAGTAGACATAGAAGATGGATGCCACACGAACCAGACCAATAAAGTTGGTATCGGTGTGGGCCTCACACTGACTTCATTGGGTTGGTTTGAGCGGCATCTGTCTTCTTTGTACACACACTTCTGGACTATGTTGAGACACTGGCTCCCACTTTCTGAGTACCAGCAGGGTAACTCCATGCTGCCTGACCGTGAGCGGTGCTGCACGTTTATAGCCCTTTCAGTGGGTCTTAATGCCCCAGACGTAGCTGTATCATGGGATTGCTGTGATTGGCTCTCACACCAATCACATGATTAGGAGTCCATCCCACTAGCTCCTGATCAGAAGCCTTGACTGAGACCTGTTGGTAACAGCTTGGTCAGTGTGCTGGGAGCATGCAGTGAGTGAGTCCTCAGTACACCCTTTCATGCCGCCATGGATTCATATCTGCATCAACTAGGTGTTAAAGCTTGCATTTCTTGCTGCTACATATATGCATTACGTGGTTGCCAAGATATTTGTATAGCTTTCCTTGACTTGCATCAGTGGGCAACTGTATTCTTTATAAATGTGTCCTCTTATTTAACCTCTTGCTGCCCCCCATAGCAGTTATACTGCAAGTGGGTGGCAGCTCCAGGCCAGGTAACGTACTGGTACATCGCAACCTTTCTTCCATGCCAACCTGTGCTGTGATTGGACACATCACGAGTTCGGCAGATGATTTCAGCCAATGACTTTGGCTGAAGTCAGCTGATTAGCGGTGGCCAATCACACACAGAGTTCTATGTATTGTGAACAGTGGTCTGACTGTTTCTTCTCCCTGCAAAGCAGGGAGGAAAAACAAACGGTAAAGTAAAAGCAGCACACAATACACACACTACACATTGTCAGGCACACAGTTAACCCTTTGATTGCCTTGATGTTAACCCCTTCCCAGCCAGTGTCATTAGTACAGTGACAGTGTATAGTAGTAGCACTGATCGCTGCGTTAGTGTTGTTATTGATGTTATTCAGTTAGTTTACTTCCCAGCCAGCATCCGCTTGCCCGCCACACTATCAGTCCCACTATAAGTCGCTGATCACCTCCATTACTAGTATAGTGCCATAGCTGTGTAAATTACAGTATACATATATACCATAGTTTGTAGACGCTATAACTTTTGCAGAAACCAATTAGTATACGCCTATTGAGATTTTTATTTTTACCCAACATATGTAGCAGGATCCATTTGGTTTAAATTTTTGAGGAACTTAGATTTTTTTTTTAAATTTTATTGGATATGTTTTATAACAAAGTAGGAAATATTGTTTTGTTTTTCAAAATTTTTGGTCTTCTTTCATTTATATCGCAAAAAATAAAATACCCAGTGGTGATTAAATTCACCCAAAAGAGAGCTGTACTGATTGTGAAAAAAGTAAAAGTTAAAGTAGCACAGTGCTGAATAGCAAAATATGTGTTGGTCATGAAGCGGGTAAAACTTTTCCGGAGTTTTTGTGGTTAAACACAGTCAATAGACATATTTTTGCTAGCTGGTTGGTTCTAAATTTCCATCCTGGCACTCATTCCTAAATCTGGCTGGTTCCTCTGCTTGCTGAATTATGGGCAGTCCTGTCACTTTGCCCTGCTTGATACTCACTATCTTCATGCTTCGTTCCTCCATCGGAGGTGAAAATCTAAACCCATTTGGAGCTTACCCATGGTTAATGACTTGCTTCCCTTCCCTAAATTACAGTGTTCAGGCCTGACAACTGGCTTCCCAGACTAGTGCCCAGGATCCTGGGAGGAAGCTGAGGTGGTTGCCTACTCCTCCGTGTGCAACCAGGGAGTGCTCCAAGTCTATTCAGGACAAAGTGACAGTCTGTTTATATATATGCAAGCTTTGCCTCCTTGTCCTGGGTACCCCTTTCACCTCTTTGTCCCCTTTTTCTTTCACATCTTCTTCTCTAGTTTTCATCGGGGACACTGAGAACACAGGTCTGCACAAAAGCCATTTGAAAAGCTTTGTGTATTTGACTGCAAGGATTATATAAAATGACTAAAATGAATTGTATGGCTGATTTAAGTGCAGTTTTAGGGGTGTACTGAAAAAAATTGCATAGCATTTTGCATAGTGAGAGTGCATGCACGTCCATTTGGTTCTAATGAAGCGAAAAAGAAATGTTATTAGGCTATTTCCTGTGCTGGTCAAATCTTTTTAATTAATTTATAACACAAAATACCATTTTTGGTTATGAGATGGAATGAACTGTCAGAAAATTCCTATGATAGTTAGTGCCATCTATTGGTCAAATTTAGTGGTTTCCATTTTAAACCAATGGAAAGCATTCAACCAGCGCAGGAGATAAAATAACCCCTTAGTTTCTTCCATGGGACTGCCTGTTTTTCTTATTCTCTATATGTTCACTATATATTACTTCTGAAATGAAGAGACAGTAGATTAACACATACAACCATTTATTTTAACCCTCAGTGTGAACGTAACCAGCTCATCCTTCAACAAACCCAGACTTTGATGGAACGTGCGGTTAGCTTGGCCCCTCATGAGGCCAGTTTTGCCACTGAACTTGGCTATCAGGCTGTTCTACAGGGTCGCATTAAGGAAGCTTTAAAATGGTACAAAACAGCAATGAATCTTGATGAGTCCAGTGTGTCTGCATTGACAGGTAAGGTAGTGCACTGTTCGTTTTACATACCCATAGTAGATTGATTTGCTAGGATATCAACACGATCTTTGTTGTTAGTGCACATTGCCCTGTATCAGGCACTTAAATTGTATATAAACCTGGACCATAAACTTCTCTTTTTTTTCCCCTTTTAATCTGTTAAATATACCATTGAAATCATTTTACTATATCTGTTTGATAGGTGAAAAAAAAAACCATTGTCTTGTCAGAAATGTAGAGCCCTGTGTCCAATGCACACTCCCTATGTTAGCTCAAAAAGGTTATTTATCACTCCTTGTACTTGTCATGCACTACAGAATATTCAGCCTTTATATTGTAGAGATCTGAGAATGGGAGTTGGTAAATATTTTGACAAAAGATGCTGGGCAGGACTGACACCACTCAGGTCACAATAAATGTTGTGTGTTGTCAACCTATAAAAAGCCTTAAAAGTGGCGTGCATTTTTGGAACCTGAACCGATATTTTTCTGTACTTAAAACGGAGCTCCACCCAAAAGGGGAAGTTCCGCTTTAAGCTTTTGTCCCCTGCTCCCCATTAAAGATTGGCACCTTTGGGGAGCAGGTACCCGCTCCCACTTCCGCTGCGATCGCCTAGGCCAGTGGTCGGCAAGCCGCGGCTCGCGAGCCACATGCGGCTCTTTACAAACTTAAATGCGGCTCTTCTGTGTGCCGGGCGCCCGCTCCCCTCCCTCCTCTCGGGCGGCCGCCCCAAAAGTCAGGACTCCGCAGCTGTCAGGATGTAGGCGGGGCAGCGTGACGAACTCTTCTCCTCTCACAGTCCGCCCTGAAGACCAGAAGGGCGCGGGAACACGGCGAGAAGAACGCGCGGAGCAAAGGTAAGTGAATGAATTACTATAGGGGGGATGAATTACTATATGGGGGATGAATTACTATATGGGGGATGAATTACTATATGGGGGATGAATTACATATGGGGGATGAATTACTATGGGGGATGGGGGGATGAATTACTATATGGGGGATGAATTACTATATGGGGGGATGAATTACTATATGGGGGGATGAATTACTATATGGGGGGATGAATTACTATATGGGGGATGAATTACTATATGGGGGATGAATTACTATAGGGGGGATGAATTACTATATGAATTACTATAGGGGGGATGAATTACTATAGGGGGGATGAATTACTATATGGGGGATGAATTACTATATGGGGGGATGATGAATTTACTATAGGGGGATGAATTACTATATGGGGGATGAATTACTATGGGGGATGAATTACTATATGGGGGATGAATTACTATATTACTATATGGGGGATGTATTTTCAGTTTTAAAAATGTGGCTCTCAAAATAAATTTCAATCGTGGTTTTGGCGAGATTTGGCTCAGTTGAAAAAAAAGGTTGCCCACCACTGGCCTAGGCGATCGGAAGCGGAAGTTGTCCTCCTACCTTCGCTCCCCGTAGTCTTCTCGGACACATGACATGTCCCAGAAGACTACGGAACCATTCACAAAGTGCAGCGCTTCTCACGCATGCGCATTGGGCACCCAGCTGTGAAGCCACAAACTGTCACAGCCAGGTGCCCACACTGAAGATGCTGGCTCCAGGGAGAGAAGACAGTCGGTAAAAACAGCAGTTGTGAAGACACCGCTGGACCGAGGGACAGGTAAGTGTCTGTATTTTAAAAGTCAGCAGCTACAGTTTATGTAGCTGCTGACTTTTTTTTTTTTTTTCTCCAGGTTGAACTCCGCTTTAAAGTCACGTGCATGTGTTGCAGAGGTGTACTGCAGATTTTTTTGCTTTGACATACACTTAGACCTTTTTTATGATAACAGACTTCCAGTATGTTCCCATACCCCCTTCAACAGATTATCAAAACCATCATCATCACCACCAGTCCCAGCACCGTACAGTCAGGTACCAACATGACTTGAAAAGATATCAGTAGTTTATATATGAATAGGTGTGACTGAAACAGCTGAATGAAAATCATAAGGATTGTATTTGTTTCTATACAAATTACATATACTCAAGCTAGCTTTGCTGCCAATGAGATTTTGCTGTGATTTTTTTTTTTTGCAATCATGACATATAATCATCATCCTATTACTTAAAATGTTACAGGTCATCTGAGTCAATTTAGAGCAGCGTTTTTCAACCACTGTGCCGCGGCACACTAGTGTGCCGTGAGATATTGTCTGGTGTGCCGTGGGAAAAATTGCAATTTCATCCGTAACATGTGGCCTCGGCTCACAAATAGACCAATCATTAGAACAGCAATGGGCAAACTACGGCCCGGGGGCCGTATACAGCCCGTATACGGCCCGGCGGACCTTTTAATCCGGCCCGCAGAGCGTGATACTGTCAGGATGATCTGTCCCCCTCGACGTATCTGCGCATGTGCTGGAGATCGCCGATCGGCTGCTAATGCCTAAAACTGGCACATGTGCAGATACGTCGAGGGGGACAGATCCTCATAGGAGACAGATTTTCATGCTACACCGGAACGGGAGAGGAACGCGCGGAGCAAAGGTAAGTGAATTGACACAGGGGGGGCTTGGGGACTTAATATGGGGGATGAATTACTATGGGGGATGAATTACTATGGGGGATGAATTACTATGGGGGATGAATTACTATGGGGGATGGGGGGGATGAATTACTATATGGGGGATGAATTACTATAGGGGGGATGAATTACTATAGGGGGGATGAATTACTATAGGGGGGATGAATTACTATAGGGGGGGGTGATGAATTACTATATGGGGGATGAATTACTATATGGGGGATGAATTACTATATGGGGGGATTAATTACTAGGGGGATTAATTACTATGGGGGATGAATTACTATGGGGGATGAATTACTATGGGGGATGAATTACTATATGGGGGGTGAATTACTATATGGGGGATGAATGAATTACTATATGGGGGATGAATTACTATATGGGGGATGAATTACTATGGGGGATGAATTACTATATGGGGGATGAATTACTATATGGGGGATGAATTACTATATGGGGGATTAATTACTATGCTTACTATGGGGGAATATTACTATACTTACTATGGATGACACATACACATCATTCATCTACTCTTGGTCCGGCCCCCGGGTCCAATTATAAAATACTTTATTATTTCATAATAAAGTAATTATAAAATAATTTCTTTGTGTTTGATTCCTATTCAAGAGAATTACTTTATATATAGTCAATATAGGCACAGAGGTAAATTTTTTTAACATTTTCTAATGGTGGTGTGCCTCGTGATTTTTTTCATGAAAAAGTGTGCCTTTGCACAAAAAAGGTTGAAAAACACTGATTTAGAGATATGGTCCCATCATTTGCTGCCCATACCCTCGGATAAGAACCTCTTGTCCTAGACGATCTGCCGGGCTTTTTCAACAAACTGAACTAAGGAATACTCATGTGAAAAGTGCAGTAACCCTTGAAAACCAGTTATATTATTGGTCAGAAGGACCAGATTAGCAAAAGATACATTCTGTTTCATTGCTGTATGCTACTGGATGTTACATATTATTTGCACTTACTAGCTTATGCATGGATAGCTATATACAGCTTTATTGGCATTGCTTAGGTCTGTTTTTATAAACATGCTTTTTCCACAAGGTAGTATGAAATGCTGTATTAACTTGCCCTCCTGAGGATTTACCCCCCTCTCTGACCAGGCCACTTTTTTTTTTTTTGCATTACTGCGCTGCGTTACTTTGACAATTGCGCAGTCATGTAACACTGCACCCAAATGAAATTTACGTCCTTTTTTTTCCAACAAATTGAGCTTTCTTTCAGTGGTATTTGATCGCCTGTGTGTATTTCATTTCTTGCGCTATAAAAGTAAAAAAATGATCGACAATTTTGAGAATAAACAATATTTTTGACTTTGCTATTAAACATGTCCAGTAAAAAAATTTAAAAAATCTAATTTTGTCATAAATTTAGGCCAAAATGTATTCTGCTGCATATCTTTGCTAAAAAAAAAAAAACATTACGTGTAAATTAATTGGTTTACATGAACGTTATAGTGTTTAGAAATGGCAGTATAGATACTGGAATTTTTTTAAATTTTTACTAGTAATGGTGGCGATTAACGACTTATATAAGGACTGCGGCGGGCATTCTGAAACTGGGGGGAACTGACTTGGAGTCACTGACATCCCCAGTGACACCAACACAGTGATCCATGCTAAAAGAAAGCACGGACACTGTACTAATGTCACTGGGCAGGAAGGGGTTAACATTAGGGGCGATCAAAGGGTTAACTGTGTGCTGGGTGTGTTTTACTATGGGGCCTTGTGTTTGTGCTTCACTGTAATCCCACTGCTTTGCATGGCTGTGCTGTGTGCACGAGCTGACAGGGAGGAGAACTGTTTTGCTTACAAACAGTTCTCCTCCTTGTTGGAGATGCTCGGCAATCACTGGGCACCGACGAGTAATCACAGGCCGGGACCCGGTGATTGACAGCCGTGGCCGCGAATGGCCGTGAAATGGCCTCGTGCGCAACCCATACCTAGAAATGCAAAATCACATATATATGTTATTTTGCACACCCCGTGCCTTTCTGTAGCAGTATATCTGCTATAGGGCGGTCGGGAGGCGGTTAATTTGTGTCTTTCATATGTGCCTGGCTTCACAATTACTTCAGCTTTGCGTATTACTCAAAGCAGTGTTTGTATCTACATTGGCTTGTGTACCACCAGCCTGCCCATACATGGACCACAATTCGCCCAGTCCCTGTGAACTGGCTGAATTTCGATCCATGTATGGCTGGCTTTGAACTTGCATTAAGATAACGCTATAGATTAAATAATGATAAACAGAAACAAAGTCTTTAAAGCTAACACACTGATCAGATAATTTGCAAGTGAGTACCTACCTGGCAGGATTGTGTATATATGCCACCTAAGGCAAGCCATAAATGATGCAATTTTCTTTCCTACACACACAGGTTGCAGGAAAGAAAATATCTTAATTCCACCATCAACACAGTCAGTGTTGATAGGGGAATCCCTATCAACACTATTGTGTTCTCCTGGCAGGGGGGGACATGGGAAACCTTCCCAGCAGTGAGAATGCAGCGATTATTGCTAATGGCTATAGCTGTTGGCAATAGTCGAATGCCGAAAATACAATATGCTGGTTGTACCCAAGTCGACCAGTGGATGGACTTGGATACAATCAGCCTGCCCATAGGTGGATCTAATCTCGGCTGGTTCCTGCTGAACCGTCCGAGATTCGATTCATCCATGGCTGGCTTAAGTTTCTCATGTACACATAGTGATGGGTTTCAGGGTTTATGACTGATATGGGGAAAAACAAACCTTTTTGGTTTCTTAGAATCTTAATAAGTTATTTTCTGAGGCCTGGAGACTTTGCAGAGCTTTGGGTGGGAAAAATACTCAATTCCTAGGTCCACATCATACCTGGTAGTCAGAACTCATTATTTGTCTCAACTGTGCACAGGCCTTTATATGTGGGTGCAGACAGAACACTAAAATGTTACATGAGCTGCCTGCTTGTTTTGGGAAACCCATCGTGGGGCACTCTGTCAGTCAGAAAGTGACCTGAGATTAGCTAGTGGCTCAGAACAGAAGATGTCTTGTATCTTTTATACTGTGGACTCGCTTAACAAATCTCTCCTGCAGTGAAACTGTGTTTGTTTGATGATGCCTTGCTGAATAAAAGAGCAGGTTAAACTTTGACTTTTTCTGTGCTTGGTCTGTTCCCATTTATCCTTGTCTTATGGGTGGTTTACTGCTACTGATACCAGTTGAACCTGTCCCCCTTACTATATATATTAATTGGGCACACTTTATTTATGTCTAATAGGCATTATTCGATGTCAAATTATTGAAGGACAGCTACAGGATGCTGATCAGCAGTTGGAATTCCTCATGGAGATCCAGCAGTCTATTGGAAAATCAGGGGTAAATTACACATGAAAGACACTGTGTCAGCTTTTTCTGTTTTGCACATCAAGATTTGTAGACACTTGTTAATTGAAAACTGTCATCTAAATATTAGTTTGTAGGTGATATTTATGGATCGCTATTATTTTGGTGTACTCTAAGATGCAGTACATAAATTAATAAAATCCTCTCTTTTAACATTAGTACCCAACTCCAGGCATAGTGGAGTGTTTCTTTTACATTTTTTAAAAGCTTTTAATATTTCCTGTGACTTTAATCCATAACTGATTTTTTACTAACAGGATAAGTTCACCTTTTGAAAAAATAATAAATACACATCTTATTTTGCAGGTAAAAAATGGTGTGTTCATTTTTTTATAGGGAACCTGCTAATCACTGGTGCAATGTCAGGCTCTTTTAGACTCGAAGGATAGCTGTCTGCACATTCCTTTGATATGGGCAGGCAGTTACATTAGAGCAGGAAAATCAATGAACTATGAGAATGCTCACCAGTGTCCTCATAGTTCATTGAGAACTACAAGTTGTCAGCTGCAATGGCTGACAGTACTTGTAGTCTATTCATTCACAGAACTCTGTGAATGAATGATGTGGCCGTGTGGACAGAGCCCTGTACAGCTGCTCTGTTTTCACATTATGACAGTGGGTGCAGAGAGAGGAACCCCCACCTGCTGTCATGAGGGTAGGTGTGAAGGGGAGAGGGGGTGCATGGTGAACATGTTACACTCCCACTGAGCTGGTGCTGGTAAGTACAGTAGGATTTGTACTTCCAGCTCCCCGCTGCATCAGCATATCTTCTATGATAGATACCAGTTCTGGTATTGTGTCTTTGCCCCTCCCTGCACTTTGCCATGCACTGTACCTTCCAGGACCAGCTCAGTGCGACCTACAAATAGCTTTTTAAAGTATAACTGTTGGAAAACTTTTTTTTTTTTTTTAGTTTTGGATAGAGTGGAGAGAGATTCGAACCCCTGTCAGGTCTTTACTGCTTACTGTGCCCCTGTTAGGGAGATTCAACCTCTCCTATTCTCCTTTTTATTCTTATCACCAAAAGCAAAAGAAGTCCAAATTTTGGGTTGTTACCCAAACAGTAAAAGAAGGGAAATCTTCCAATGTATTAATGGAGTGATTTAAAGGAGGCGCAAATGTAAAAAGGTATTTAAAAATATGAAAAGAACTGCAACTAGAGTTGGAACTTTTCATATTTTTAAAGTAAAAGTAAACCCTTTACAATAGGTCTCCCTGTGAAGAAAAGGCTTAAACCTTATCTACACCCAAAAAGAAAAATGTAAATGTATCCATGAAGGAATGTGAAGTGTGTTATCTGCAGCTGAAAATAAAACATTCCTTTACTGTTTTGGAGAGCTACAGGTAGTAAGCCTAAATGTGTTACAGTAGGTTTTTCAATTCAGTACCGGATCATTCTATTTTCTTCCTCTTTTTCTTTGTTCAGGAACTGTCTTACTTACGTGCTCTTCTGGCTATGAAGAAGCAGAACAAGCAGGAAGACGTTATTCATTTGTTGAATGATGTTTTGGACAGTCACTTCACTTCACTACAAGGGCTGCCACTCGGTATTCAGTATTTTGAGAGACTTAACCCAGATTTCTTGCTGGAAATTATAAGGGCATATCTCAATTTCTGTCCTAATCAGGTAGCTATTATTTCTCTATTGGTAAAATGCAATGTAATTGAGACTATTGTAGTATGCATACAAAACACAAAGAACTAAATGTTCCACATTAACGGACTTTATTGGCACAACATGAGGCAGAAACAATAATTTAAAAATATATAGTTTATTACATCCAATAAAAACATGTTATCTCAAAAAACACTCCATATTGGGGAAACGTATTGTGAATATACCCAACAATTGTAAGAGGAGAAGGCACCCTTGACTAAATATGTTACAAGTTCACCAAATACATAGATATGATATGGTGCCCATATATTTCTTCATATTCAAACATCAATGCCTTTTGCAAAAAATATTGCTTCTTCAGGACAGTTGGGTTTGTATATTGCACTAAATATAATAAGAATACACAGAACTACACATAAATGACATATAGGATATAAAACAATCAATGTATCAATGGTTGTTGAACGTGTAGAATGCTCACATTTGAACGTGGAAATTACTCATAAAAATAGATCTTGGGGGTAGACACAGGGGCCAATAAAAGCCAACGCACTGACTCACATGGTCAAGAAGATGGAAGGTGGGGACCTTGTAATAACTTGAGTGTTGTTCTATGTTATTACAAGGTCCCCATCTTCCATCTTCTTAGCCATGTGAGTCTCTTAGTGTGCTGGCTTTTATTGGCCGTATGTCTGCCCCCAAGACCTATATTTATGTGCAATCTCCACGTTCAAATGTGAGCATTTTACTCGGTCTACTGCCATTGATATACTGATTTTGTTTGATAATCTAGATCTAATTTATGCGTAATTCTATGTATGCGTATTATATTTAGTGCAATATACAAAC